CCACTAGACTACCCCAACACACTAACCACTAGACTACCCCAACACACTAACCACTAGACTACCCCAACACACTAACCACTAGACTACCCCAATTGCAGTTTATGATATACATGTATATGTTTAAAGATATATATGAATGAAGATTTATAAACTATGTAGAAAAAGAGTCAAAAACATTTGCATTATAAAACTGAAAGTAGTAGCATATAGATACATATGTTATTCATTAACAATATCTAACATTACATGTTACTTGCCCAGATTAATAGTATTTGAAAATCCTTATAATGCATTAATATAAGGTGGCAGAAATAACAAGGTTTTAGGATTAAGCATTAAGTAATTAAAAATGAGGCTTAACATTTAAGGGGCAGTAAGGAGTGTTAGGATCCATCAAGGCTGTCAGATCCAAATAAAAAAAACAACAAACCTTTTTTTTTTACATTTACTGCAACCACTAAATCCAAAAGCCAACCACCCTGTTAGAAAAAAAACTGAAGAAACTCCTATAGCACCTAAGGTATATCATGTTGCTGTATTATTTTGTGAAAATATTACAAATTATTATTTTGCTGTTATAAATTAGTTCTAAGTGATGTACAGATTTATAGCCTGTTCAAAGAAAGTTGGGTGTTCTTTCTCTTAAGTTTTGATTTTGGATACTTTCTAAAACAAAGATTATTTGTCACATTACTGTTCATAAACAGTAATATGTGATGCATTAATGATGTGTGGATATATCTTTCATCCTGAAGGGTTGTTGAATAATTAATATTTTGTTATGCTTGCCATAAATTTTTTTTGTTATTGAAAGTGATTTATAAATCCAAACAGTTAAATGTATCTATTGATCAGTGTTTCTTAAAAGATGGTCTTTGAAAGCTTTCAGTTTTTGATAAACACAATATCTTACAAAAATAATTTTTTATCACAAAACTTACGTGTTTACTGTTTGGAAAAAAATTAACTTTTGGCAGTGAAGCACTGAATGACATAGGTAACTATTAAGGTGGTGAAAATATTTTATCAATCAATAAATACTATGCCTAAGGAATGTTTATGAAGCATATTAAAATTTTTGTAATTTTCTCATGTATTGTATATTTTAAGAGGTAGCAAGTGTCTGTTCTTATTGATCAATAAATGTAGTTTTAAATTAATTTTCACTTCTTTATTGTAAAATCATAAATTGTTTTTTAACAGTTGTAAAGATGTACTTTGATTAATGGATTAATTGTTATTTGTTATAAATTCTTTAGTACTATGAAGTGAAGGATAGGTCCAAGCAAGTAAATTATTTTTTCTTTCTCTTTTAATTCCAATAGTTCCCATTTATCCTAAACTATTTATAAGAGCAGGATCTATCCAAATTCTGATGTAAACCTTATAGAAACTCATCTGATATTCTCTTTTTATAAGCATGTCCAGACTACATGATACGTGATTCCCTATAGATGAAAATGATTAAAAGAAAGCCAGTACTGTTAAGAAATGTTATCTTGTATTATAAGGTAATGCCTAAGTATTCAGAAAATGAAGTATATCAATTTGTGTGTGTGTATATATATATATAATCAGAAGCAAATGATAAACTATGTAAAGTTTCAATTTTTGTATGATACACTGAGATTGTATTAATATTCTGGATACCACCTAAACTGGACCATTCTGATATGGTACATTACCTCCTCGCACGTGTATAGCTATTCTCGTTCAGTGCTGGCCTCTATACACAAACATTTTTTTGCATGCCACAAGCTTTGAACACTTACATACCCTCGATCAACGTGGTTCAACTGCGTCTCACATTTAAATCATCATGCAACAACCCTCCACCAATAGGAGTGCAACACACCCTCCTAACGCATGTGACTCCATCAATTAAATTCTATGAAACGATTACTTCTTGTTAGGCAGTGATCAAGTCAAGATGTTTTTCAATGGTGCTCTTTTCACCCATCCATTCAGACTAATCCCTACTCCTTTTAATCTGTGGGCATCGTTGGTCTGATATATTTGCTATTGATGTTTCACATATTTTTTCTATTCCATACATGTTCTCTTTAATCCAGATTGGTCTTTCCTATCCAAAACTTCAGGAGCTCGTGAGAGACAGTCTTCCTTCTTGCCGATTTCACTTCCATCCAATTCCCACCTTTATTTCTGATCTGATCCAAAGAGAGAGATCTATGCTCAGTATATGCTCTACATTGTTACATTGTCTGCACGGCCTCCTTTAGTAGTTTCCGTTCCCACCTTTTCATTCCCTGGCACCATTCATTTGTATGTGACCTTTTTTCCTTCTACCCTTCCAAGTTGGATACATCAACTGATTCGATTGGTCTATTCCTCCCTGTCTTTTTCTTCCCGAATTCTGTTCCAGGGGTTGTCACATTTTCTATCTTTTATTTCTTTTTTGTTTTCCAGTGCACTGTCCTCAAGTTGCTGAGCTCCTCAGGATATCTTAGTTCTGTATTCAGTTTTTCCTGAGCATCCATTAGCTTGGCCAGTTTCATGACTCACTGATCTTTTTAGATGTGGATGAAGGGAGCTATTGTTTTAGGAGTATGTCCACTCATAAATTTTAGCTGGTCTACTCCCTTGAGAATCTTCCACTACAGGTGCTAACATAGTATTTCCCTACCTGTTTGTGCCACACTTGTGCTCCCATTGTGGCTCCATATGTCAACACATCACCTCACTAATTGACTCACTTTTGTTATAAACTAAAGGACATTGAGAGCGAAGAGGCACCCTGTTGTTCATAGGTCCAGTCTATGTATAAGGCCAGTCTGCTATAATCTGGTTCTTATATTTATGGTTCTGGATTCTACTTTGACTCTGCTTGACTACATCTTGGGTGTGGTCTAGGTTACTACCTTATAATATTTTTTTTTGGTATAATCTTAACTCTCCCTAACTCCCATCTTTTTAATATGGTGGTTGCTGTGGCTTTCAGTATTTCAGGGTAAATTTACCTGATTTGAATTTTACATTCTTAGGATTGAAAATAATTACAAACAGGTACTTGCTTCTAAAATAAATTCCCACCTACCTCTCCAGAACTGGGCAATTTGCAGTTTTTCCATTATGATTGAAACTAAGAAATCTGAATTACCACTAGAAAACAGAGCATATTTAACTTTGAGTTACATGTTTGTTGGCAGGATCATGTCAACTCAACAAAAAAAGGCTTCCAGTTGAAAATAGTTCAAACTTTGCATATTCTCATCTTTGGATCCAACAGAACTATGCAACTAATCAAGACTTAATTGTCTCACAAATACTTTTCCTTATATACCTGTTATGGTTACATTAAAAATTTTGTACATTACTGTGTGTTGCTGATATGACTGCATGCATGCTTCTTCTACCATTGGATTAAAGTCTGCACGTGTGTTAAATTTATGAGCTCTTAATGTTTTTCAGTTTTAATTTTTGTGATTTTAAGATTAGATAAATTTTTTAAGTTGTTGATAAATTTTTTAATTGAATGGTGTATCATATTTGATTATTTTTAACTACATAAAGCATTCACCTTTTTAAATCACTTCTAAATCTTTGCAATGATGTCTATATACTTTATCACTTCTAAATCTTTGCAATGATGGCTGTATACTTTATCACTTCTAAATCTTTGCAATGATGG